CTGCTAGACTCTCTTTTTGCTTCCAACTCGACTAGACTCGACTAGATGACGGGGGGAACACACCGCCGACCATCCCGCGGTATGAGTGCTCCATGCGGGAAGTGCTGTTTACACAGCGCTTGGTGCGTAAAGCACTCTGCTCCCTGGACGTCAACAAGTCGAGTGGAGTCCCGCCTATTGCGCTAAAGACTTGTGCTCCGGAGTTGGCACCGTTTTTAACGCGTCTTTTTCGGTACTTCTACTCCCTAGACGTAGTCCAGAATTCATGGAAGACAGCTTTGGTGCACCCGATCCCTAAAAAAGGCGACCGCTCAGATCCGTCCAACTACAGGCCTATCGCTATCACCTCCTTGTTCTGCGAAGTAATGTACACCATTATTAACTGCCAGCTCATGCGGTACTTTGAGGACCACCAGCTGATTAGCGACCCCCAGTACAGTTTCCGTTGAGGTCGCTCAGCTGGTGATCTTCTAGGTTACCTAACTCATAGAAGGGCGGAGGCAGAGGAGTCCAAGGGGAAGGCGTTGGACGTTAGTTTGGACATAGCGAAGGCTGTCAATCGGGTTTGGCACAAAGCGCTTCTTTCGAAGCTGCCTTCCTATGGGCTTCCCGAGAAATTGTGCAATTGGGTCACCAGTTTTCTTGCAGATTAGAGCATCAAGGTCGTAGCAGACGATGCATGCTCCGATTACAAGCCCATTAACGCTTGTGTTCCACAAGGCCGCGTGCTATCACCAACGCTGTTTCTTTTGCATATCAATGATATGTTGCAAACCAGTAACATTCTTTGCTATGTAGACAACAGCACTGGTGATGCTTTATACACCGGCCGTGCCAATATTTCTCGGGAAAACTTCGCCAAGTACCGGAACAAACTTGTGTCTGAAGTCAAGACTTTGTTGAACAAATTATAAGACTGGGGCGACTAAATCTAGTCCAGTTCAATCCCCAGAAGACACAAGCTTGCGCGTTTACCACTAAAAAGAACCCCTTTGTCGTATCTCCTCAGTTTCAAGGCACTCCCCTTGTTGCCTCAGCCAGTATCGGTTTCCTCGGTATCGACATATCGAGTGACATGCAGTTTCGTGGTCACTTGGAAGAGAAGGCCAAATTGGCCTCTAAAAAGCTTGGCGTGCCCAGCAGAGCGGGACAGTATTTCGTGCGGGCACACCGCTTGCACTTTACAAGGCATAGGTTCGGTCTCACATGGAATACTGTTACTATCTCTGGGCAGGGGCTCCCCAGTGCCAGCTCCTTCCACTTGACCGTATCCAGCGCAGAGCGGTTCGAATCGTCGACAACCGAGTTCTTTCCGATCGGCTTGACTCACTGGCACTGCGTAGAGATTTTGCATCTCTTTGCGTATTTTTCCGTGTTGCAGTTGTTCATGGGAGGCGGTAGTCACTTACCATCAGGTGAGCCGCATGCTCGTTTGTCCCTCTCTTTAAAAAAAACTCTGCGCTGGCGATCATTTTTTTTTTAAAAAACGTTACCCCCACTCTAGGATTTTCTCCTGTGTCGTGGAGGCAGTTTACAAACATAAATTGCACAAGGATAAACATCCAGACCCGGAACAATTATTTGTAGGCCATACAAATACTTGTTCCGTGCGGGATTCGAACCCGCAGCCCCCAGCGCAACAACTGATTGCTAAGCCACTGCGCCACGGAGCCGTCAAATTCGTGGGGCACCCATTTGTCAAGATTTTTGCCTTGCCAATTTGCTGCTAATTCAGCCGTAGATTGAGCTTCCAAATCGGCTTTAATTCGTTATTGTCTACCAAAGTTGTCAGATGGCCACGGGATTCATTTCTCGAATCGAAATTTCCAGAACGGCAGCGGACTAACCAATAATAGGTGGTGCCTTCGTTTATAGTATTCGCTCCGTAAACGTTGTTGATGTTGCGTGCACCCGCTTGTATCAAGTTACTGTCACGACGGTATTCATATTTCATAATTACTCGAACTTTTAATATTTCCATGATGACGAAAAACATAACATAACATAGCCTATAAATAAAAAATGACATATTTTGAAAAAATAATTCTATATATTTTATAATAAAATTAATTTGAAATTTGAATTTTTACCCAAACAAAAATTATTTTGATTTGAAATGGCCAACACTGCAGAACGGAAATTCCATAGATAAAGGCAACCACGACTTTTTCTGCGGTTTCACTTAAAAGTGAGGAATATTTCACAGATAACATAGCGGGAAGTTAATTTATTCGGAAAATGAAAAGATTAATGTTTCTTTCTGTGGTATTAGCTATATTTTATATTAATAATGTTGCGCGCCACTATTAATGTCTTGTACATGGCAACACTAGTTACCATCAGCGCCCTCTAGTGTCGAATAGAAATCCTTCTAGAAATATTAGAGTAGAAATCCTTCTAGAAATTTCGGGACGTACTCGAACATTCTAGATGTCGCTACAGTAGAAGGTTCTGGAAACTATCTGAGGCCCTATATAAGGCCGGTATAGACCACGACCGAGTCGTATTGAATTGGCGATACAAGAGAATACTTCGAAGCAAAACAACTGCGAACTAAAGTGATCAGTAGTACAATTGTGTTATATTATTAGTGTGGTTTTAGATTTTAATTAGTGTTGTGTAATTAAAGTTTCAATTTTGGTAATTCAATCGGCAGTTTTTAATTGTCTCGAACCCCAAGCTCGTAACAATTGGTGTCAGAAGTGGGATCAAATCATGCCAATTTTATCAAAGGACGACATGGAGGGTATACGTACCCGAAGTCAACGCCAGCTGGAGACGGACCAGAGACGATTTGGTAATGCAACGAGACTGCTCGTCATGGAGGCCGGCCCGTCAGCAGCTCCTGCATCTGCAGCACCTGACTTAGGTGTTATGATGATGTTGATGCAGGATCAGGCTCGCCGACAGGAGGAACAGGCCCGCCGACAGGAGGAACAGACCCGTTGGTTTGAAGAGCAACTACAGCGCGGTATGGAAGAGCAGATGTTCATCAGGAAGGACCTTCACGCTACCTTCGGGAAAGAGATAAAGGAGGTGAAGGATAGGGTTGCTCAACATGACAACGGCCTGTCGGAAGCTGAAACCCGAATCGACCAAATGAACAATCGGGTTGACAACGTGATGGCTGACGTGAAGAAAACGCTGGACGACCTCAAACATGGAGATGGAATTACAGCTCCCGTAGTACCTACAACACCTTTGCTAGGTGGATTATTCAAAGTGGTGCCGTTCGACGGGACTTCTTCCTGGTCGGCCTACATAATCCAGTTCGAGGCTGTTATCAAGGCGAACGGCTGGAATAAAAAACAGGCCATGACTGCTCTCACCCTAGGCCTACGCGACCAGGCCTTAACTGTTCTGGAAGCTCTCAGTAAGGAAGTGACTTACGAACAGCTCCTTGAGGCATTGGAGACGAGATATGGCGACACTCACCTGGAACACGTCTTTCTTGTGCAGCTCAAAGATCGCGTGCAACGCAGCAACGAAAACCTGCAGCAGTGGGCCCTTGAGGTGGAGAAGCTGGTTCGAAAAGCATACCAGTCTGTACCTGCGGTCATTGTAGGGAACCTGGTGCAGACATTCATCGACGACATCCGCGACCTTGAAGTCAGAGCTTCTGTGAGGCTCGGGCACCACGAGACGCTTAAGGACGCGTTGGCCCATGCACTGGAGGTGGAATCTTTGCGGCATGATCATCGTTCCTATCGCGTAAGGGAGGTTGCAGCGGCTACAGTTCGTGACCGCAATAAAAGATACAGCCCTAGGTGCTACGGCTGTGTGAAAAGGGGCCATCTTCGATTCAGCTGCCCTAAACGAACTGTAGAAAGGGAAGGTGATCGATCTGTAGAGGGTAGTGTGGCTAACAGCACCGCCCAGCAGCAGCAGATAAACTGGCGTGTGGTGACTGATGTTAGAAGAGGTACTTCTAATATTGTCCATGTGGATCGACTGGCGCGTTATTATGGGGCCAATAATGCTCGGGACGAGCATGTCTTAGAAGGGGGCAGTGTTACGCGCCACTATTAATGTCTTGTACATGGCAACACTAGGTACCATCAGCGCCCTCTAGTGTCGAGTAGCTGAGATAGGAGAGTCAAGATCCTTCTAGAAATTACGGGACGTACTCGAACATTCTAGATGTCGCTACAGTAGAAGGGTCTGGAAACTATCTGAGGCCCTATATAAGGCCGGTATAGACCACGACCGAGTCAGTATTGAATTAGCGATACAAGAGAATACTTCGAAGCGTAACAACTGCGATCTTAAGTGATCAGTAGTACAATTGTGTTTTATTATTAGTGTGGTTTTAGATTGTAATCAGTCTTGTGTAATTAAAGTGTCAATTTTGGTAATTCAATCGGCAGTTTTAATTGTCTCGAACACCTAGCTCGTAACAATAAGATTAAAAAAATAAACCAAACCACAGATATTCATAAAAGTAGAAAAATATTTAAAAAAATGTGCAAACATGAATGAGCATACTGCTGACGCATTGTTTTGAGTATTAATATAATACTTTTCAAACTGATAAACTTTTATTAAAAACTAACTTCTCAATTAAGTGTCATTCTGTAAGAGAAAACTTTACCTCAGTCTCAACTAGCGATATCTGGTGAGCAGAAAATTATTAGCCCTCATTTGTAGGAAAGTGTTCTTATCTCACGCGCTACATTTTTTGGTAACGTTTCCAGAACTATTGTTTATATTTTCAATGTATATAACCTCTTTAGAGAGTATGAACAAAATCTTAAGGGCATGATAACGCAATGTTAATCATTTAGTGTTATGTATATAATGGAGTACAAGGGGCTGAAATTTAATACGACGAAAAGTAAAAGTAATGATGCACACCCTACATATTCGTATATTCGCGTAGGATGTGAGATAGTCACTTTAATGAGTCATGTGATAAATAAAACATATCCTACTCGTACCTTAGAGTGAGTAATAGCAAACATATCTTACCTAGCAACACTGTAGTTCTGTTGTTTACTAACCTGCAGCTTTTTGAAAAGTTTCGTCGGGACAAAAATATTTCACGTTAAATTCTATAATCTCTTCTAAAAGATCATTGGGAGCATTTTGAATGCGTAATTTTAATATACTGCCATCTGGCCTCCTCGATTGAAACCGAGACCATACACGACACGGCATATGTGGATTTTTTGACATATTTTATATAATTTTCTTCAAATTCGTAAACTTACTTCCATACACAAGCAACAAATAAAGAATTTAGTAACTTGTTATTCGACTTTTATATATTCTATCACTATCTTGGAAGACAGAAATTCGTAATTAATATTCCTTGAGCAACGATAAGAATGACTTATTGTATCCTGTGCTATTTGGGCTTATTATTACTATCTGTACACTACTCGTATTAACCTAAATAATTTATTCTATACCAACATAAACCTGTAGAACACTTGTGTAAAAAACAAGTCTAAGGTACTTTATTATATTTACGATGAAAAATTTAGACGATAATATCAGAGGGAGGTTAGAATGCGGTGTCACAAACAAAGTGATAATCACAATACGATCAGATACGAAAATATTTTTGTACAATTATTTACTCTAGCTGGGTTTTGAAACTAGGAACCGCGACGAAGCAACAATGCAGTTGAAAACTAGGCCATGCGTTAATTATTTCAGGTTCATTTATACACATATTATGCCAAAGTATTGATATAAACGTAGACAGACATGTTCAAAATATTTCTAACATTTTAAAACCCTGCTTATACTCGACAAAGTAGTTCCTAAACACAACAGGCGAAGAAAAATTTTTGAATAGAAATCATGGACCAATGTCTACCGTCACACCCAACAAAATAGTATGACGTCGTTAAACACACACAGGCACAGAGCATGAGTCGTAGTAATCAGTAGAAGCCTATGGCCTTTTTACTCATTAATAGTCTAATGTTTCACTAAAATTCTACCTGATAATTTGTGTCAGGGTTCATTTATTTAAATACTAACTATACCTCGCCATTTCACCGGCATAAACCACGCATCTGTGCCGAGCGACGCGCTTAAAGTTACAGCCTATAGTAAGATCCAAAAGCTACTGGCCTAAACTATAGAATGAAGGATAAATGTCAAACTATTATAATAATTTTAGGTATAATCTCCCTTTGTATCAATACACTTTTTACAGCGCTTTACTAACTTTTCTATACCCTTAAAAACTAGCCTTTGCTTTTGCCATCAAAATGTACAAAACTGCTGACTTAACCTCATTATCAGTGGTAACTTTTTTCCGTTAGTCGGGTTTCAATTTTAAGAATAATTAATATAATAGGGGCCAAGTTGGAGCTATATGGTGGATGGTCGAGCCCAGTGAAACCGCATTCCTTAATGGTAGCCTTGGAAACACCCGATGTGTGGACCGGAGCATTGTCAAGAAGCAACAAACCTGTTTGCGACAATTTATCTAGATGTTTTTCTTTAATAGCATCTTAATAGAAATCTGTAGCCCTTTGGACGTGATCGATAAGTCGGTCTGTGTCGGCATTACCGCTATGGGACCTATACAGGCACCCGTAGATGCGAGGATGGTCGTCACTGTCTACGCGCAGCCAGAGGATGGACAGTACCTTCCGTACCTTCAATACTGCCGAGGCGTCGAGAACGAACAGATATCCTGTCTGACGTATACGCAGACTCCAGCCGCTGGTAGTTTTTTCTGTTTGAATTCCACTACCATGTTATGTTGGGGTTGGACCTTCAGCCACCTGCACTTACCAAGCGAAACGCAGAACCAAAGCTTCTACTTTACGTTGGTATTCTGTGAGGTCGTGGAACTGCCCCGGTTTGACCCGGTCTATCCATGCTACAGCAGAAGCTGCAGCGTAGCTCTACCTCGGTTAAAAATGAAAAATGAAGTGTTGAAATACCAACTGTAAACTTAAAAAGCTGAATAATAGGTCGCTTTATATCGGTTATAACTTTCGTTTTACTGGTTCGAGAGAAAGGTGTAAATTAACATTGTATTTTTACACAACTCCACAATAAAAATAACACGATAAAGCAATTCTTAAAAAACGAACAGTTTTCCTCATATTCAAAATAAGGCACACATACGATACAAACGTATTGAAAACATTTGTTTTTTATTTTAAATTTTACATGTTTATGCATATAAAATAAATACGAATCAATTTTTCACATTTTTATGCATATATTTTACAACAAGACAAAAATTATACAGGTATACATTTATAAATACAATAAATTTCTAGAAAAGTTGTGTCTGTAATTCTAAGATTTCCTGGAAAAAGCATGTCCAGAGGTTTAATAAACGATTTTAAGGAAGCAAGCCAAATTAGTGGTTTTTGAGTTTTTGTCTGTCTGTCTGTGTATTCAAGATTCACGCAAAAAACTACTAGGTTAGCTAGGTACTAGGTTTTCCATACAATTTTATATGTAGATTAGGTTAGATACCCGGGGCAAATTATAGGCTACATTAATCTTTAAATAATTATTTTTATTTAACATAAAATACTAACTTTCATTTGAAGTTTTGTCGATATTTTATTTTAATAGTATAATATTTAAATAGATAATAGTGACATCTATCAAAAATATGGTAACTGAGATGGTTTTTTGAAAAATTTTAATTATTTTAATTTTTACAAAGCCAAGCGGAAAGTTAGTCAGAGAAGTGTGTACTGCAGTGAGCTAGGGTGAAAAACATAATAATAAAAAAATAAATAAAATTCACACACACACACACACACACACACACACACGCACGCACGTACGCTCGCACGCACGCACGCACGCACGCAAGCACACACGCACGCACGCACTCACGCACGCACGCACACACGCACGCACTCACGCACGCACGCACGCTCGATCGCACGCACGCACGAACGCACGCACGCACGCACGCACTCACGCACGCACGCACGCACGCACGCCCGCACGCACGCACGCACGCACATACGCACGCACGCACGCACGCACGCTCGCACGCGCATACACACACACACACACACACACACACACACTCACTCACACACACTCACCCACACACATACACACACACACGCACACACACACACACACACACACACACACACACACACACATTACTTTACTACTTGCTGCATATTTCTTTTTGAAGAAGTGAAGTGTAGAAGTGTTGATTTACCAAGTTGAAGAAATATGTCGACAATATTTTTATAATATGTGATCATCCTACGTCCCCATCACTGACGACACGGCATGGGTTAGTGGTTTCTTTTTCGCTGCAACTACACGATGAATATATTTCTACTCCAATTCATGAATACTTCTCCTCACATTAACCGTGAATAAGAACTACATTTATGAAATAATATTTTCGAAATAAAATTCTGAATCTACTCCAAGGAAAAAAAAATTAGCAACAATTTTATTATGCCAATCAATATTCATTGGGACCAATGACATTTAATGGAACCAATGATATAATTCACGTATCGCAAATTAACATTATGCAGTAAATTAAAAGAAGGCTATATAGTTATACATTATTTTGGCAAAGCCAAATTAATTTCGATTATGAATTAATAAATGTAAAGAGTAAAAAGGAAATAACGCAATTCTAATGATAACACAATTTATGAAGAAATAATGTCCTCCAGACCGAATTTCGGTCACGACGGCCAGTCTCAACGGAGACTAGCCATCTGCGCAGGATAGGATTATAGTGTGTATACCCAAGCACAAGTACCCTCACTCCAAATATTCCGATAAGACGGTTATCTGACACGAAAAGAGAGAGATCAGGCCCAAGACCAACGGCCTTATGTGCTTTTAGAGACACGGGGGTGTAACACCGACAATTTCCTGACTCCGGGAAACTACTGAGAATTTGACCCGACTAGGTGTTTGAACCTGGGATGTCATTATCAGCAGTTGCGTTTACAACCACTAGACAAACTAGGTATGATATTAATGCAGTTCTGAAAAACATACCTTATATTACCTTATACCTAAGTCAAACTTTAATAATCTACGTCCAATAGTCTCTGAGAATGCAAAAAAATTCTGTGACAAGAAGTCAGAAGGACTTTCTGAGTGAACGATCTCTCCGAGTCTTCGTGGAGAACTGCAGGTACCTACGATGACATAAGCTGGGGCTCATTTCTCTCTACAACTATTTCTCCATCTTAAAGATTTGCTTATATTCCCGGTATCTATGAGTAATGAGTATGCTGACGACAGCACAGTTGTGAATATACAACAGTCAAATGATCGGGCTAATCGTGATCAAATCCAGTTAGAAAGATAAGCCATGGTTAAGGGTGCAAAACCCTCTCTTCAGGCAGTATCCAAATGGGGCGCTGCGCCGCCAATCTTGTGAGATTGAAAGTCTACAAAACTGAAGCATGTCCCTTCACTGCAAAAAGAGCCCGCTCACCTTTGCCCACTTTTCGGGATCTTTAGAGTACCCTGAAATTCCACACATTCTTAACAAACTGTTTGCTTCATAGTTCGTCATACGTACAACTAAGAAGTGGTATAATTTATCAGCATTCGACTTTCCATATGAATAAAATTAGCTTCTTTTCAAGGTAAAAGTAAAGGGTTTAGTTAAGCTAAGTTAAGGGAGATAGTAGTCGATCCCTGGCTTAGCACGGTTTAAAAAACACCGACCGCCTTACAACTGAATCAGAGGTTGAGATTTCACCAAACATCAATTCTGGGCGCTTCAATAAGTCCAGGGCTAAAGCAGCTACAAAAAAACTATGTAATCTTGCAAAGGTGCGACGGTAGTTCACTCTGGAGCAGCTTCCGATCCTCCTACATACATCAAAATAGCTACAACCCTGCAAAGCATGGTGATTTTTTATACTTACATTTTTCTTTATACGATAAGTATATATTTATTTTCTACATTATACTGTCTTCATCCAGCAGTGTACATTTAAAGGCTAATTCATAGACGTATGAATGAATGGTAAAAGATGGGCAGCAATAACAGGTCATTAAGCATTCCATTTAAGTAAAGAACGCTCGTCGTAATAATAGTAAATCAGCTGACGTCGAATGACGCAGTTCATCGTATCGTAATAACGTTGCTGAGCTCCAAGAAAGTGTAAAAAGTAATTTCCATTATGCATAGAGGAATAAACTGGAAATGATTACGAGTATTTAACGTATATTAAGTG